AGACCTATGATCGTTTAGACACGCAGATCTTTTGATTAAACTATGGAGATCCAGGATATCTCTTAGTACGTTGAAATTGATAATATCCTCGATAAAAGATAGGAGAGTCTACGTAGTGTTTGGAGGAAAGTCATAAGTAAGTTTTTATATAAACATCAGACTGTCTCAGGGTAGTTGCCTTACCCCTTACCTATTTATTGTGTTCTATTGTGATTTAGTTCAATGCACCGAAGCTCATTCAGGTCATCTTTTTGCAGATGATCTTTATTTTATGACAAGACCTCCAATCTCGATAAAACTAGCACCCATAATTTTTTTTTCTTTTTAGTGCTGCATTGAAGATCAATTATTCAGAGGATTATATAAAACTAGACCCTTAGTCTCGGTTTCAAAACAAATGTAACAGGCATAGTACATAGTAGTTAGTTCTGTGCAATAGAGGATGCTGATAAAAAAGCAGATAAATGATCTAAGTAACACTTATGAGGATGTGTATGATTGTTCCACTGCATCCAGTTTCGAATGTAACTATTAGGTCTACCGCGACGTAAAGCGTCAATAAATGGAGTTTCTTCTATGTGCATTTGTAGATACATCGGCATCGCCTTTGAGAGAATATAAAATTCGAAAAGTTCAGGTGATATTGTTCGTGCTTTATCAATGAATCGACGTAAGAAACGTTGAGCACGTGTTGCAGCTGTTTGAAAAGCAGGCAACCATTGTATTTCGTCATTGCGAACATCCCACCAATTGTGCATAAGTCTATAGATTTGGGCTAGCACCCATAATCGAATATTAGGATAATCGAAAAAATGGAAATATTCTATGAATATGTCAATAACAGTGGCACAATTATTTTATTCAATAGTTGATAGATGTATCAAAAACATTCAGAAATTCCTGAAAAAGCTTAGATGGTTCAGATCAAAACGCTCATCTCTACCAAAGTACTTACACAAACTGATTTTCTCATATACATTTCCTTATTTTGCTTGATTATTTCCCTTCTTCTTGCTGCTTCTCAAGTCACAACAATTATTACAACAGAAATCTCATATTGGTCTTCAACTGATGCATCACTATTCCTTTGTTGCAACTCGTAATATATATACTATGACTAATCAACATTGATTAGAATTCAACGTTAAAAACTACATTCAAAGGAGATTAAAATTTCAGCAAGCAAAGGATCTTGGTTGTTCACTCTGCTCTAACGATATTTTGTTTAGGACGACTTTTATAAAAAGAAGAAGGATCATCTTGATCAGTTTTTCATAATGATCGTGTTTAAACAATTGATAGAAAAGCATAAATTGTTTCTTTTTAAATGGATATCATTTATTGAAATAAAGTAGTTTTATACAAAGAAAAAAAGCATGTAGAATCCTTCTTTCGTTCTTCTTTTGTGGAACTCACATATATTTTCGAAGGAAATAGTGAGTGTAAGTTTTAAGTTCGAGGTTTCGCGGCTCCCCCACCCCCACCCCTCCACTCCTATCCCCTTACAGACAGGCCTCCATTACAGGCCATAGCAACTTCGTCAAAAAAGAAAAAATTTCTGTTCGAAATATAGATATAAAAAAGACAGCATTTTTTGATAATCGATTATCTTTAGAAAAAACTATTATCTTTTAGAGTTTTAAAATATTGCGTATTTTGAGATTACTATCATAAAACCAAAGAGTATATGTGAGTTCCACATTTCAGTCCCAAACGGGCTGCGATAACAAGCTTTTTTTTCTCGCGTTGAAAGTCGTACTAACGTTCTCTCTTGCTTCGTCCTTCTTTTCTTTATTTGCTTGCTCTAAATTTTTTTTACTTTTCTATGCCTTGTTTTTCTCTCTGTATTTATTCTCTTAATAGTCACACGAACAAAATCAATACTCGGTATAATGATATTGATGGCAGCTGTAAAACTCTTTGCATTTATAT